TACTGACGTTATAGTTATTACTGGTAGCGGCTTTGTTTTGCTATTTACTGACGTTATAGTTATTACTGGTAGCGGCTTTGTTTTGCTATTTACTGACGTTATAGTTATTACTGGTAGCGGCTTTGTTCTTGTTTTTTTCTCCTGGTTATTCGCATTACTTCCTACGACAGTCGTTATTCATCCACGTTATTCATACGCGTCCCTCAAGCCCAGAAGACCCCACGCAGGGACCGAAGAAGAGCCACGCTGAGGCCACTTGTCGTCTTCCTCTTTCTTGATCTCCCAAAAAAGCTGTAAAACTCTTTTCTCCTTCAAGATGAGCCCAGTTGAGTGACGCTTCGGAGTTGCACGGAAAAGCCATCTGTGTTTCGCGGCTGTGTCGTTAAGGGCGTCCATCCCGCTCGATGATCTGTCGGATCCCTCTATCCACGTTGTCAGATTTTTATTTATTTATTTATTTTTTTTACATTAGCTCCTCTTCCTTCCTCTGCTATCTTCTTTCCCTTCGTTCGCCTTTTCATTCTTCACTTTCTTTACATAAGCTAATAACATTTCCCCCCTAAAAGTCTCTGTTCTGGTCCTTTTGAACTTCCCTTGGTCTTCGATGAGTCACTTCCTGGCGCACCACCTGCGGACTGAGATTATTTTAGCCCTTCTCTCCGACGGCTGACGTTCGTATCTTCAGCCACTGCTCGAGATCGACGAATGGTGGACGCGCAGGTGTTACTCTCATTGTTTTCCGCTTTGAATTCCATTTCTATTTCGTCAGAAGATGGCGCTCATAATCGTAGGGTAAATCTAAGCCATTTTTTCCCTTTGATCTAGGTGGGAATTTTATCTATCGATGTAGGGGTGTGTGGAGGGAAGAACCAGGAAGGAAGGGGGAAGGAAGGGAAGTGGAGGACGTGGGAGAATGTGGGAGAGGGAGAGAGGGGAGGAAGGGGAAAGGAAGGGAAATGGGGGGACGAGGGAGAGTGGGAAGGAAGGGGAAAGGGAGGGAAATGAGATCCTGGGTGTGGAAGCAGGAAGGTTGAAAACGAAAGACCTAAGAACTTTCTTTTTCGTTCCCGTCTCGTCTTTTCTCACCCTCTTCTAGGCAGGCGTTTCTGCACCTTATTATCCTCGCGGTTTTCCAGAATTAGTTTTTTTTCTAGACTCATCCCTTCATGAAAACTGTTATTTATTTTGATTATACTTATTATCTCTTTCACTAACGTAAACAAATCATGTAAATGAGAACCTGCATCTGCACGCCAGGAATCGCAGACGCCATCTCACCCGAGACAATAATGGCTGTCAATCCAAATATCGCACTCACGCCCTCCTTTCACATAGGAAACCGGGTGCTTGGCATTATTATAAAAAACTAGGGGTGAAAGTTAATGATGCAGACATCGTTTCTCTAAAGAAGGGATCTGAGACAGCCTGGAACCGCTGAAAAATCTTGCTGGAAATGGACATGGCATCTTTGTTGTTTCACTTGGCTTGCGTAAGGCCAGCTTGAGCAGTTTAAGGAATAAGAAATAAATAGCTTAGAGGTATTGCAAAATGAAGCCATGAGGATTATCCTCGGCGCCGTGAGATCAGCAAGGATAGTAAATAGGACTGAACTAAACTTACCATCCGTTTCCGATAAAATGATATGTATATGTACTATGTTTGGAGTTAGAGTTTTGAGGAAACCTTTACACCTTTTCTGCCCAAAACAGCTGCGACGTCAAACCACGCACGCAGACAGACCAATCATAATTAGACACGGCCTGATACACACAAGCTACTTGAACACTGCGAAGTATTCGTCCCAATAAGTAAAATAAACAAAGGTCGATCCATCCCATCGTGAGAAACATGGTCAATGGAAAAAGTGTGCTCTACGTGCGTGCCAAAAACAAATCGCGCTAAGGATGTACAAAGAATCAATGAACAATGTATAAAAGTGTTACACCGACGGATCCCTACAGTCTGGATAAACAGCTGATTGTGTTTGCGGTGTACGCAAAAATAGTCTACTGCAACATCCGTTTAATATGTTTATAATAAGACCAGCACTACACAGAGTTGGTATACTCCTTGCAACAGAATTCTTAATGCCTCGGGGCTCTGGAGTAGTTTTCTGAGACACACGTGGTGCAAAAAGTGCGGGTGAATCTGGATATAGACTCTGCAACAAGAAAAATAAGCAAATACGAGCATTATGTCTCGGAGCGTTATTTGATACACCTTTCAGCCAACCTAACACATGGTAGAAAGAACTTTGTGATTATCTCCTTTCAGCTGATGCACTGGAAGATATATTCATACTATTTTATCAATGTAAAATTACCGTAGACATTGTAATGTACACACAGTGGGAAAATGTATATATATTATAAAAATATATATTTTTTATATGCATATGCATTATAAATGAGCTGTATCTTCATTTCATGTAAAATTACAATAATAACAGAAAACTGTACTATGTCAAATATATGCAAAACTTTATAATGACGATTGCCCACGACTGAGCAGATACCCAGAGTTGTTTATAAGCTTAATTCAGGGAAGTTTTCTCTGTAGATACGCATATACCCTATTTTCAGATTTATAAAATCTGTTCAAATTATATGATCATACCAACGCGTTTTCAGAGATTATAACCTCCGTGTTAAAATGGCATTAAAAGATTAAACATAAAAAAAAAAAAAAATGCTTTTGAGATTGTCCACTTAATTTCTTCAAGGACCGCCGTTCTAACGAAATTTCATATTAGTTTTCTAAATAGTCTACAAATCACTGCATATTACACAATTCAGTTCTATCTACTACTTGTAACGAAAATCTACCGGCAATAGATTCAGACGCATCTTTCCAGCCCACTATCCATCGACGCTAATCTGTGACTCGACGGAAATAAATATTATTATGCTACTTACTATCTTTGGCTTTCCGGGAGCAGCAGCGCTCGCACAGCCCCCGTCGACGGCAAGACCAGAACTGCTGCTTAACGTTCGCAACCAAACGAGCCCCGGGAACTGCGTCCGATTCCGCCGACGGATTTTGTGTATTCCGACTGTAAACATTATACTGAATTAGCTTTAAAAAAAAAAAAAAAAAAAAAAAAAAGAGAAAAAGAGAGAAGAGAGAAAAGAGAGAGAGAAGAGAAGAAAGAGAGAGAGAGAGAGAGAGAGAGGAGAGGAGAGAGAAGAGAGAGAGAGAGAAGAGAGAGAGAGAGAGAGAAGAGAAAGAGAGAGAGAGAGAGAGAGAGAGAGAGAAGAGAGGAGAGAGAGAGAGAGAGAGAGAGAGAGAGAGAGAGAGAGAGAGAGACTTAGAACGGAGAGCGAGAGAAGAGAGAGAGGAGGAGGAGAGAGAAGCAGAGGAGAATAATAGAGAGAGGAGAGGAAAATGGAGAAATGAGAGAAGGATAAAGAGAGACTCGGAAACATGGGTAAAGAGCAAGAGTGGGGACGAAACGGGAAGCTTGAAAACAAGAGAAGCAAGTAGCGGAAGTTGAACGAAAAAGAGTATCTGGTCAAGCGACAACAAATAAACGAAAATATATAAGCAACGTAGATATGAAACCAAAAAGACTGAGACAATTCGTGAAAGAACGATAGAAGACATCGGAAAGACAATCCGCTGAGGAGACTTGCTTGCTTTTCATGATGAGAAAAGAATACGTTTAAAATCATCACGTAACGTACAACATGACGATCGCTAATATGAATGACAAGTTTTTTCTTTTTTGTTCTTTTCTTCTTTTTCTCCTTCTCTCTCTCTCTCTCTCTCTTCTCCTCTCTCTCTCTCTCTCTCTCCCTCTCTCTCTCTCGTCTCTCTCTCGCTCTTCTCATTTTTTTTTTTTTTTTTTTTTTTTTTTTTTTTTTTTTTTTTTCTTACTGGGCTCTCGCACGTGTGTTGGCTCGTACCGAAATGAGGTTCATGAATCATTCGTCGTGCAGCAGTGAGCTATCGTGCATTGGCTGTTCTGTGTTTGCAGTCCGATCTGTTTTAAGGAGTGTAAAATAATTAACATAAATAACACCATAATGTGGTACTGATTTCAGCAAGGGGAGACGCGCCGTGCTCTTTTTAAACGTAAGTTGGGCTGTAAAAAGCCCTTTCCGGCGAAGCTCTTTCCTAACCTAAAAAAGAAAAAAAAAAAATCTAATATTCATAGCAAAGGGTCTTTCAAGCCGTGTTTAGAGTAGAAATAACAAAGGTAAATAAAAACGCACTTCGGACATCCCGCGCTGGCCATAATAGAGCTATAAGTAGCTAGTTTCTAGATTAATAATAAAGCTGTCAATATACTCCAATTAATACACAATATGATAACGACTTTCTAGTGTATAACATAATTTATTGGCAACAAAATGTCAATTATCAAGAGAATTTCATCGTTATCACTCATTTCTGTCGGTCATGCAGGCGGTTTGTTTACTTTTGTGACGTCATGAAACTGTAGCCAGTTTCCTCTAGAGTTTGAAAATGCTTGGCTGGGTTACTTAACCTGACAAAGAAGTTGTATCAAAAACAAATATAAGCAATAAGCTCAATTTTTAAAAAGAAATTTGAAATATCGTGCCATCATAAATGCGCCTTTAGCTTTAGGGATATTAAGGGGAATGATTACTCTACAGCAACAGTCTTCACATAGAGAGAGGAAAAATAGGCCAAATCCCTTTTCTCAGCACGATTTTTTTTTCTTGATTCTGAATTCCTCAAATGCATCTTACCCAAGAAAAAGAGCCTGCGTGTCCGTTGTGTGCTGGTCTGCTAGTTGAAACTTGAATTATGCTTTTGTAACATCAACTCAGTTTTGGCACATCTCACTACAGATGAAATTAACATTACTGAGTAGAAAAATCAACATACACGACGTATCCCAGAATCAGGTGAACATTATTATGAATGATAAGGTTCTGTAGACTTGAACTGGGTTGGTCTCGGGTTATGATGAAACTAATTTCATCGTTACATGTTCATAACACCGCTAAAACGATATTCACAGTATCGCACAAGTCATTACGGTTTCTCAACGTTTCGCTCTCCTTTCTCCCGTCTTTTGTTTTCAAGAATAAGTGCCATCGGAGTGACCTGCTTCCTTCGGGGATTCCACGAGGATCAGGACTCGCTTGGTGAGGTGGGCCGAGAGTAGTCATCCAAGGTTGACAGGTAGCAGTGGTCGGTTGACAGGTAACAATGGTCGGTTGACAGGTAGCAATGGTCGGTTAACAGGTAGAATGGTCCCAGTTGACAGGTAGCAGTGGTCGGTTGACAGGTAGACAGGTAGATGGTCGGTTGACAGGTAGCAATGGTCGGTTGACAGGTAGCAATGGTCGGTTGACAGGTAGCAGTGGTCGGTTGACAGGTAGCAGTGGTCGGTTGACAGGTAGTAATGGTCGGTTGGCAGGTAGAATGGTCGGTTGACAGGTAGCAATGGTCGGTTGACAGGTTCAAGACAGGTAGCAATGGTCGGTTGACAGTAGCAATGGTCGGTTGACAGGTAGCATTGACAGGTATGGTCGGTTGACAGGTATGGTCGGTTGACGGTCGTCGTTGACAGGTAGCAATGGTCGGTGACAGGTAGCAGTGGTCAGTTGACAGGTAGCAATGGTCGGTTGACAGGTAGCATGGTCGGTTGGTAGACAGGTAGAATGGTCGGTTGACAGGTAGCAATGGTCGGTTGACAGGTAGCAATGGTCGGTTGACAATGACAGGTAGCAATGGTCGGACAGGTAGCAATGGTCGGTTGACAGGTAGCAATGGTCGGTTGACAGGTAGAATGGTCGGTTGACAGGTAGCAATGGTCGGTTGACAGGTAGCAATGGTCGGTTGACAGGTAGCAATGGTCGGTTGACAGGTAGCAATGGTCGGTTGACAGGTAGCAATGGTCGGTTAACAGGTAGAATGGTCGGTTGGTAGAATGGTCGTTGACAGGTGGTCGTTGACAGGTAGAATGGTCGGTTGTAGCAATGGTAGGTAATGGTCGGTTGACCGGAAGCAATGGTCGGTTGACAGGTAGCAATGGTCGGTTGACAGGTAGCAATGGTCGGTTTAACAGGTAGAATGGTCGGTTGACATGGTTGACAGGTAGAATGGTCGGTTGACAGGTAAATGGTCGGTTGACAGTAACAATGGTCGGTTGACAGTAGCAACAGCATAAATGGTCGGTTGAGGTAAATGGTCGGTTGACAGGTAACAATGGTCGGTTGACAGGTAGCAATGGTCGGTTGACAGGTAGCAGTGGTCGGTTGACAGGTAGACTGGTCGGTTGACAGGTAACAATGGTCGGTTGACAGGTAGAATGGTCGGTTCTCAGGTAGCAATGGTCGGTTAACAGGTGTAAATGGTCGGTTGACAGGTAACAATGGTCGGTTGACAGGCATAAATGGTCGGTTGACAGGTAACAATGGTCGGTTGACAGGTAGCAAGCAATGGTCGGTTGACAGGTAGGTCGGTTGACAGGTAGCAATGGTCTTGCAAGTTTAGCAATGGTCGGTTGACAGGTAGCAATGGTCGGCTGACAGGTAGCAGTGGTCGGTTGACAGGTAGAATGGTCGGTTCACAGGTAGCAATGGTCGGTTAACAGGTGTAAATGGTCGGTTGACAGTTAGCAATGGTCGGTTGACAGGCATAAATGGTCGGTTGACAGGTAGCAATGGTCGGTTGACAGGTAGCAATGGTCGGTTGACAGGTAGCAATGGTCGGTTGACAGGCATAAATGGTCGGTTGACAGGTAGCAATGGTCGGTTGACAGGTAGAATGGTCGGTTGACAGGTAGCAATGGTCGGTTGACAGGTAGCAATGGTCGGTTGACAGGTAGCAGTGGTCGGTTGACAGGTAGAATGACCCAATGGTCGGTTGACAGGTAGCAGACAGGTAGCATGGTCGGTTGACAGGTAGAATGGTCGGTTGACAGGTAGCAATGGTCGGTTGACAGGTAGCAGTGGTCGGTTGACAGGTAGCATGGTCGGTTGACAGGTAGAATGGTCGGTTGACAGGTTAGAATGGTCGGTTGACAGGTAGCAATGGTCGTTTGACAGGTAGCAATGGTCGGTTGGTGGTTGACAGGTAGCAATGGTCGGTGTAGGTTGTAGCAGACAGGTAGAATGGTCGGTTGACAGGTAGCAATGGTCGGTTGACACATTGACGCAATGGTCGTTGACAGGTAGCAAGACAGTAGCAATGGTCGGTTGACAGTAGCAATGTCGGTTGACAGGTAGCAATGGTCGGTTGACAGGTAGCAATGGTCGGTTGACAGGTAGCAATGGTCGGTTGACAGGTAGCAATGGTCGGCTGACAGGTAGCAATGGTCGGTGTAGCAATGAAGCAATGGTCGGTTGCAATGGTCGGTTGACAGTAGAATGGTCGGTTGACAGCTAGCAATGGTCGGAGTGTGTGTGTGTGTGGAGGGGGGGGGGGCATTTGGCGGCAGAGAGCGTCGGCGCCGCTGCCACCATATATGTCGTGGGCAATATTGGATTAATGGAAGACGAGCTGGGTTTGGTTATTAATTGGAAGTGTGTCCAATGTGCGCCCCGTGCTCGGGCAGTACGAAGATCCCGATTGAACTCAGAATAGCTGAATCCTAAATATGTGTGTATATATACGCAAAGATTGTATGGCTCTGTATAATAGGCTCTGATTTAGTGTTTAAGAACTATACCTTCTGGCAGGTTCAGTGGAAAATTATCCATTTATTCTGGATAGGAACAGACATTAGTTGGTATTGTTGGTCGAGCGGCTGAGTTAACATGTAGCGAGGTCAATTATGCTTACAGGAAATAACCGTTGTCGCTTATGCACGTGTGTGTAATTAATTTGTAGCTGTGTGTATTAGGGCAACTCCTCTTCAGTATCTGGCATTTTCTTTTCAACCTTTCTTCAAACGTGCGTGCTTCCCGGTGTTCGTTCTGTTATCTTCATAATAACAACCATTATGCGCGCCGGCGCTGACATCTGACGATGGTGGCCATTACCGTTACAAATGCGCCTATGTTGCAGGCTATGTCGCCACAATGGCCCCTCATAGTGTATACCTTGCCTTAGTGAAGTTTCAAGTCCCGCTCACGGCCGTAAAATGAGGCACTCCAACTCCAGCCACTTGTATATAATGCCCAGGCGAAGCATGCCTTCGCATATCTCACAGGCCAGAATTCCCACCGCCCCTGAAACGATACTCGTAGGGATTTTACACGACCACTGGTTACTTAATCCGTTGGACTGTGAAGGCATGACGTAGATGCAAGTCCTGCGTGACTTTGGTCTATCAATTGTGTTTACACGTGCCTTCACAACTACTTTGGCAATGATTAGCCCCTACCTATCTCACCTGTTTACCCTTTCGTTTCCTTTCGAAATTAATTTATATTGCTGTTAGTATTTAATAATCAGTCAACAATCATGATAACAGTATTGTTTTTGATAGCACAAAAGATACCGACATTTCAAGGAATGAGGAAAACAGGTGACGTCAGGTAGGGTCAACAAGTTGACTCCTAGATGGATGAACACCTATGCAACCACCTGGGTGCAACGAAATTCACAAAAATCAAAATAAATAAATAAATAAAGATTAAAAATAAACAGTCGACAACGCAAGTTACCTTGTGCAGAAGTCCATTTTCTATAATACCTTTGATTTATTTTCTTCTTTTAATCTTAACTTATTTTGAAATATGTTGATCTGTTACATTTTTTATATTTTCATAAGAAATTGTATATTTAACTTTGTCTCATTTGTGTAAGGAAATCTATGATACTCCTTTTATCCTACCGGAAGTAATAACTTTTTGATAATTAAAAGATTGGAAGGAATGGTTGGCTCTTGCTCACACCCCAAACTCTGCCATGGTTACAGTTGTTTGCTAAATACATGTGTGCACGCATTGCATAGATAGAATAATGCATCGTGATTTTTTTTTATTATTCTATCACTGTAACTGATACTTTTAGGTTTCCCGTTTTCTGAGAACGCAATAATTTTCTTAGGGGAGACTTATATATATTTACAATATTTAGTTGTGGATATGTTTATTGAAGAATAACTATCATACAAAAGTTTGTTTCCCTCGGATCGCTAAATGAAGAGAGTAAAAGTATAAGAGGTACCGGGATTAAGCGAATATCCCTTAATTTAGACATCAAGTGGTTGTGGATTTGTTTAAATGGCTGCGTTCGGCTTCGTTCACTGGCGAACAGGGTCAGTATAAGTAAATACTTATTATGTTACTGTTAATGTTTGAAACAAATAAATGTGCTAGACATCAAAGGTCATATAGCACTATGGTACACTATGGTAAAGTATTGTGTCAGAAAGGGTAAAGAGGAGTTAAAGATTGGGGTAAAATGTGTTAGATCTCAAAGATTAGAGAACGTTATAGGATAGTATGGTATTGAAAAGGGCAAAGGGAAGTAAGTGAAAAAAAAACAGATATTAGTAGAGAGGGCTAAGAGGGTAGGGCGATTAGGCGAATTGCAGTGTTTCTGTCACTGGGGAAGGTATAGGAACAATGTTCGCGGAAAACAGAGATGGTTGTTGTAAATGTATACTTGTATAGACCTACATGCCGAGTAGGGTCCGTAACCGTGGCCTATCCCAGTGGTGGTCCCGTGTCATGTTGCGTTCAACTGCCCTCTGTCGCTTCCTTACACCTATACATGGTGATATTTTTCCATTTTGCTATTTATTTTCGTAACTGACTGATGGTTGTTATCATGTACTTTGTATTCCATTTGATTTACACGATATCGTCGATTTCCTAGAATTAGGTGAGATTGGTGAAACAGATTTATTTATTTTCGGATTCTGTTTCTTGATAGGGATCTCTGTTGCTCTGTTGCTTCTCTCTGGGGGGATCTAGGGCTCGCCGTGGAATGCCCGTCGGAAGCAGTGGAAGTGGTCAGTGGAATAATGCTTGAAAACGAAATGAAGGAGAATGGAGAGTGAAACATTCAAGACCTTGAATGACGAGTAAGATATTTTAGAATTTTGTTTTGGTGATGTAATAGAAAATGG